CTCGGGTGCACATCAGAGCCTTTGATTCTGATGGGCCTACAAAGCTGGGAGCCCCAATTAGCCTGGCCACATGTTCAATTAATGGCATGCTATGAACCAGCTTTAAAGTTACTACACATATTTAGTGTAATAACTTTGTGGCTTATTCCTTGCTTTATCAGACCATTAGCTGAATTAATGTGTAGCCAAGCAACTACTTAAGATGTGATTAACTGGTTAATCATTTCTTAAGTGTAACGTGCGCCAGGGGCCTTAGACAAAATCCTATATCTATAATACATATAGCATAACGAGGAATAAATTCTGTACCTGAAGAATGCCAAAGCCTGAAGTAACAGCCTTGTGTCCAACCCAAGAGAAGTTATTCTACTTACCCCTTGTAACCATGGATGCTTCAGAACCTGAGCAGCACTCAGTCTTTCTTTGGCATCACGAACAAGCAACTTTGAGATGAGGTCTTTGGCATCACTGGAAATATGAGACCAGTCTTTGTCAGGGAACTCGTACTTGCCTTCCTGGATACTCTCAAAGAGCTTGTTCTACAAAAAAAGCCCGGCCATTTGCACCATGTAATAGCCCTGTATGATGCTCCAAGCCCTATGCCTAAAGAGACAGCATCCCACTTTTAGCTGGAGGATTCTGATTATGTTAAACCTACTTGGGGATAATGGAATATGAGACCCAGTCCTCAGATTTCACCCTCTAAACCCCCAAAAGGAAGAGGGGCTGCTAAGTCTCAGCTGAGAAGTTAAAAGGGGCATTTTGTACATATCACTAAGTCACTCGCCCACTTCTCAGTTGAGGCTTATTTTCTTAAAGGGCTGAGCTATGCAAGGAAGCCAGCACAGCTTGCTCAGTAACCCAGCCTCTTTTCCAAGATAACAAGGCTACCTACAGCTCTCCCCAAGAGATCCACACATGATAGAGGCACCTGGCAAACTCTGCAAACTTCTCCCCTGTCCCAGCCACAGTCTGTGCCACAGTTCCCCACGAAAGGAGGGTAGCCGCTGAGCATGATGTACAAAATCACCCCAAGACTCCACAGATCACAGCGTTTGTCATAGAATGTGGCCTCCTCTGTGAAGACTTCCACAACCTCTGGTGCCATGTATTCTGCAGAACCGCACTAAGGGACAGAAAAGAAAATAATCTAAATAGTGGTCATTGCTAGTGCGCCCAAATCAAACAGAAAAAAGCAGGCAATGAAAACAGGCCAGATTTTCATCTTTTGCTACTTAGAGGAACACTGAAATGACTGAAGCTGTCTAAATACAGGACTGGAAGTCAGGGACTTTTCATCTCATCTCCCATATCAATAGTGGCTTCAAGACAAAACCATTCTGCTTTTTGCATGTTGCAAGAGTAAGACTCGGATTCTGAGAAGCTTACGATGAAGAAAGTGTTTTGAACATGGAAAAAGCAAGTAATTCCAAAAAAAAGTTATCTAACTGTAGTTTCTGATGGCATGGGACCTATGCAGAACTCAGAGAAGGAAGGGCAGTAGGAAGTCTTGTCAGAATGGAAAGTAGTTAAGTGTGACTTACAGATGGGGAGAAGTGAGTCAGAATATTCCATTTGCACGCTATTTTAAAATCATAATTGCCACGATCAAGCCTGGCTATAAAAAGTAAATTAATTAATGGGGGTTGGTTTATTTATTGTTTAAGTAAAATTCTTTAAAAAGCCTCCTGCTCCACTGATAGACAATCTTTTCACTGCACTGCCAAAAAGTAGTACTCTGGCTTTATATGAGGATACGCTTATGAATTACAGAGATCGTGGAAAGCTTGACATTCTTACTGCAGATAACTACTGAGTCCTCCAACAGCCAGCTACTAACCTCAAATACTGAAAAGCAGAGAAAATTGCCATTTAAACCCAGTTATCACCATAAAAATAAAAGCAATGCAAAAAGCTTCCTTTTCAACAGAAAAAATAAGGAAAAGGAATTTTAGTGATGGCAGATCTCACAGCACAAAGTAAATGACAAACAAAATAAAACAGCTAAATAATCAGTTACTATGCCAGTTGCTTGGCAACTGCAAGAATTAAAGTGGATGTAAATGTACAAAAATTTGGTTTACTTAGACTGCGCAATCATGATAACAATATTTAATATGTAACACACATGAAAAGTAGTCCTGAATATACCTTGGAACAAGTCGGCCGATTGATGATAATCACTTATTTCTAAACAAGTTTTCATTTGAGTATTTTAAAGAACCCCCCAATTCTCACACAATTTGTCTTCCCGGCTGTGAGTCATGAAGTCAAATACATTGTGTACAAGCTCCAGCTAATGCATATGGTATGTTTAAACATACGGTAAAAGTAACTACTTCTGGCTCTTGGATGGTACAGCAAGAATCATGATGGCATTTGAGGGAGAGAAATCATGTGAAAGTTACTCACAGAAATGTGTCATCAAATAAATACAATCAAAACTGGTAAGTTTCTTTAGCCTGTGACAGATAGGACAACGGACACTTTTCTGTCCTCTTATTTTTGTGTTGCACTCCCTACGAAAACTCAAGTCTTGCAGCCAAAAGCAGTATCAACTTAAACATTAATTTTTTTGCAACTACTCAACAAAAATCATGTGCATGAAATAGGCTGCATTTCACATGGTAGATAATGAACAGCAAAGCACAATTTGCTATGAAATGATACCATCTTTTCCCTCATCAAATGGGAGATTCAGGACAGCAGATAAAAGATAGAGAGGTTCTACCCACTAGTTCTAGGCTCAGTAGAGGCATCATCTACTGTGAATTTTGATTCCTTCCCTATTTAGAGAAGGATTCCTTTAAGAAAAAAGCAATAGAGCTGTCTTACAGTGATTTGCCCCTTTGTCCCAAGAGAACATCATTTCAAGTGGAAGTTCACTAAAACTGGAATTGCAAAAAGCACATCTGAGAGCACTGAAACCATGTGGCATTTGTTTTCTGCCTGGCTATTTTATTATTCATATTGTATCAGCACTCACAGACCTCAATCTGGATGGCTGACCTATTGTGCAAGTTGCTGCACAAAATATAATCACAGCCCCTCATCTTAAACAATTCACAATCTAATTTAAGACAAGATGCAACTTGCAAATGTAATAATGAACATCTGCATATAAAGGCTAATTTGGTGCCTAAGTGGATGATGCTGATCTCTATGTTTTATTCCTTTAATTACAGAATGCCCACAACATCTGACACTGAACAAGTAATATTAAATATGATCTCTCCATAGTCAAAATAGTTACAGTTCACTCTTTATAAACTCTCTTCATTTCAGCAAACTGCTTTACAAGTGAAGCAGAAAAGGCCTACTTTACTTACTGGAGTAGTTAATTCGGGAGTAGTTATTGGAGTACACGCACTGTTCAACTTCACTCCGCTACCAAGGTCGAAGTCGCATATTTTCACTGGTGATACCTGAAAACATGTGGGGGTGGGGGGAAGGTTAAGGTACGGAAGCCAGGAATGAATGAAACAAGACCATAGGCATCAAGACCAGTGGTATAAAAAAGGAATTAAGAAAAAAAATTTGAAGAGCACCTTCTCTGGAGATTCACACAATATATTTTCAGGCTTCAGGTCTCGGTGAGCAATCCCTAAAACAGAAGGAAAAACATTACTGAACTGTGTATAAAGGGACAGTTTAATATGTTCATCCCATTTTACCTGTCTTCACTACCAGGGCACCTTATACTACATTGTGGTTCTCAGTCTGTTTCAAGTCCCTTTAATGATGGAGTAAACATCTTACTTGTGATGTACATTTGTACAATACAATTCTACAAGTCCTGCTATATCTTTTTATAATTCTAAACATGTACAAGATTAGCGAAGAAAAGAAAGTCAGCTATAAGGTGGTGTATTTACATGCACAATAATTGAGCCAAAGAATTTTTTAACCTTTTTAATAGTACAGTTTGCCTTTTCACTGAGACTGACTGGTGACAATAGCGGAAAGAAAATAACTATCTTTGAGGCAAATAAAAAGGATTGTTTACCAGGGGAAAATGTTGTTCCATTAATTAAGATATTGTAGTATGTTCATTGCTGTGTAAAACAAGAGATGATAGGGAATTCCCAAACTAGTACAGATAAGACGCATTCAAAAGCCTTATGGAGGGAATCTTCCAAGTAATTAATTTGCTTGGTTACTGATGGGAGAAGTCTTCAAGTAGGATTTTAAACACTGATCTGTGCAAACAATACATGAAGACGGTTGTATAGTGCTAAAGCATTTTTTTCAAAGACCTAAAACAGGTCATTACTACAAGCTTTTTCAACCAACCATATCTGAATTAACTTGTTTGTAATTTAATAATGGTCCCAGAATCACAGTGGCTAAACTTGGGCACTCCTGATCTATGCCTTTAGAGGGAACTTCATAAATGTTCAAGAGGAGAGAATCAAAGTCTATTAGATCAGGACACAAACTTGATTAAAAAACATTGCAATAATTAGATCTCTAACCAAAAGGAATCTTCAAAATATTGATAGCAGTGCAGGCTATACCACTTTCCTTTGCATGGAAGAAGATTAATGAGATAAACAATTCTCCTAGGGTGGTCCATGACAGATTTACAGTGGGGTGACAAGTTTTCCCAATATCTGACCCTAACATCTATCCTGTATTTCTCTGTTTATTATGTTTTTGTGGGATGTGGATTCAAATTTGTATCTCTGATCCATTACAGGAAGATAGGATTGGATGGGGTCCTCCTGACCCAGAGGTTAGCTCCCTGCATTTCATGGGCAATCATTCACCCAAGAACTCACTGGGTGAATGATTTGGGGGGGGGTTACATGACCAAGAAAGCTTTTGCTGTCTTAATAGTCTTCACAAGATCTATTCTCACTTTCTGAATTCTTTGACCATAGAAAGTAGGGCTGTGTGAAACAACATCATTTCAATTCAACTTCTGTTTCAACGGAACAGTGTTTCGTTTCGAGTTTCGGTTTGTTGAAACTGTTTTGATGCTGTTTCGATGCTTTGCCTGTAGGTTATTACAGGGAAACATAAAATGCAGCAGGCAGGCAGATTGGGGGTTCCCCTACACCCCCGGGAGCGCTGCTGGGGCTGTGCCCAAGTCCTCCTGGGGGTGTGAGCCGTCAATTTGCCTGCCAGATGACAGACTGGCACTGGACACAGCCCACACCAAGCACTGGGAAGATCACTGCTGCCACCGGTCCCAGGCTCCTCTCAACTCAGACCCCCCACCTGGCTGGCTCTGGTAGCAGGCAGGGCAGATCAGCTGGTGCAGGGACACTTCCCTGCCCGGGGATTGGGGCGGTGGGTCCCCGCATCAGCTGATCTGCCCTGCCCCCTACCAGAGCCAGCCAGGTGGAGGCCCGGGGCAGATCAGCCGGTGCAGGGACCCTCCCCTGCCCCAGTCTGCGCCCAAGCTGATCTGCCCCAGCCCTGCTGACCCTAGGCACCAGCAGCTGGCTCATGTCAGCCAGCAGGCGGATTGGGGGCCCGGCAGCACCCCCGGGAGGGCTGTGGGGGCTGTGCTGGGGTCCTCCCGGTGCTGGGTGCAGGCTGCGCTCAGTGCCGGTCTGTCATCTAGCAGGCAAAATCAGGGCCCTGCACCCCTGAAAGGCCTTCCCAGGGGTGTGGGGAGCCCCCGATCTGCCTGCCGGATGACAGGAGGTGGGTGCTCCTGCCCGGGACCAGTGCTGAAGCCAGTAAGCCTGGCTTCGAAACTCGAAACACTTTGAAACATTTTGAGTTCCCTTGTTTCGCTTCAAAGGCTTTTGTTTTGATTTCGCTGTTTCAAGCTCGAAATGCATTGGAACAGCTTCAAAACGAAACGTCGGGCGAAAATTTCGCACAGCTCTAATAGAAAGCTATTTCTCCTTATCCATCAATCCTATTTCCCATTGCTTGTAGACCCTCTGTTTAATAGCCCATTTGAGGTGGTTGTTCATCCACACAGGTTTTTACACTTTCCTTATTAATTTTTCCCCTCTTGCTTGGGATGCAAGCTCCTGATACTATTTGTATTTTTGCCTTAAAATAATTTCATGCCACTTCTACATTTAAGTGCCTTAGCTCTTCAACCCAGTCCTGTAACAACCTCGTTCAAGTTCTGTATTATAATTACACCGCACTGCTCAGGAAACCAAGCACCTGGCTTCCAAATATTTACGCAATGGTTTATTAGGCAGCTGTCAACCATGTTTGCCTCAGAGTAAGTGTAAAGGGCACACTATTACCCAAATGAGTTTGCCAACGACATCAATAGTTGCGTTAGCTTGAGTGAAGCAGTCATTTAAAGCAGTGCTTCCACCACAAAGCAATCTGCAATAGAACGGCTTTAATTTCCTGTTTGCATTAAATGGTCTGTGTGCCACTTGACTAATTATTTCAATGCCACACAATAGAATCATAAAATATATGGGGGGAAGGGGAAATCAAAGGAGATACTACTGCAAGCCCATTCCACGGCAATATCCCTGCTCTACTGATCTGTACCATATAATCAAATTCAACACAGAACAAGGGATGCAATTTATGAAATCATTTTGCAGAAGTGTCATAAGCTTCCTGGGCAACACTATACAAAGGGCAGGTCTCCTGCTAGGGAAGGGAATTGAGTGCACACTACGTAAATTTGCTGATGACACCAAGCTGAGTGGGGAGCAGACACTCTGGAGAAAAGCATTAGGATTCACAATGACCTTAAGAAATTGAAGAAAGGATCTGGAATAAATACGATAAAATTCAATAAGGACAATGTCAAAATACTGCATTTAGTCTGGAAAATTACATGTACAAGTATAAATTGAGAATTAGCTGGGCTGCAGTACTACAGAAAAGACTAGAAAAAACTGAGATTACTTCATCTCCAGGAAGAAGAGTGTATGTGTGGGGTGGAGGGTGGCATGGAGGGAAGAGTTTGATAACAGGCTTCAAATTAAAAAGAAAGGTGGGGGTGGGTAGTTAAAGAGGATGTGATCAACTACTCTGGGCCAGGAACAGAACAAGTAGAAACAGGGGAAGTTGCAACAGGGGAAATGTAGATTGAATATTAGGAACACCTTCTTTATACAAAAGGTGGCTCAGCAGTGTAACATAATCTAAAGAGGTTGTGGAATTGCCATCACTCTGTTTTTAAGTGCAGGTTGGACACTCGGCTGAGATGGCATAGAACAGGACAATACTACCTTGAACACGAGTTTGGACAAGATGACTTCCTGACATTTGGTTGGGATGATCTAGCTGGGGCTGGTCCTGCTTTGAGCAGGGGGCTGTACTAGATGTGACCTCCTGAGGTCCCTTCCAACCCTCATTGTCTGTGATTCTATGATTCCTTCCAGCCCTAATGTCCTATGAGACTGTGGTCAGCGGGGAGGATACAAGTCCAACTAGTAAGCAAGTTTACACCACCTGCTGTTGATTTAAGGTCTGGTTACTTGCAATCCACTCTCATGCTCCAGTAGTACAATGATGAAAGCATGCCATTAACAACACAATTTGATCTATAGAGGGCCCGCAATCCAGATCGTAACAATTTAGCTTTACTTGTACCAAACGATTTCCATGCTAATATATCTAAGCTATACAAAGCACTTTGTACATTTTGAGTTTTGAATTACTCCAACCTGAAAAAGGACAGAAAATAAGATTTTCAGTAAGATGAGCCTCCCCAAACAGATGTGCACACACAGATCTCTGCACCTGGACCTAGCCCTATTGAAATCACCTGCTTCAAGCAAGGAGGGAGGTTTGCTTACACTTGTCTCCTTGAATGATGAAAAGAATCTGCAGTACACACAGGGATATAAGTTGTAGCCGTGTTGATCTAAGGACATAGGCAAACAAGGTTCTTCAGGTAAATCTGGTATCTTTTATTAGAACAACTCAAATAGTTGGAAAAAATCTTCTTTGCAAGCTTTCGGGCCTCTTTGCAAGCTTTCAAAAGGTGTTTGTACCCAAATGCTTGCAAAGAAGATTTTTTCCAACTATTTGAGTTGCTCTAATGAAAGATATCACATTTACCCAAAGAAAACTGTCTGTAATACACACACACACTTCTATAATCAGAGTACCCCAGGTAAGTATCTTAAAAAAAGATTCCACATAGGACTAAAACAGAAGATAAAGATGTAAAAGCAGCCTTTCCACACTGCCTTAATCAATAAATTACATCAAAAACAGATGTAACTTTCAATATTATAGTGATCCCCGGATTCTCATTTAACTGGCCTTATTCCAAAAGAGGAAGGATCAAGACCGAAACTGGTGAATAGACTGAGGATTTTTTTTTCACCTTTTGTATGCAGAAAATCCAGAGCATAGGCAACATCTCTCACCACCCTGCTGGCTTCGCGTTCATTAAAGTGTTTTCGCTTTTGTATGTGAGCCAAGATAGAACCTGTGAAGGTGACAGACAAAACACAAGTGCTACTTTATGCAAAATACCACCTGTATTAGTAAAAGGTCTGGTCTACTTCAAGATGAGATGCATTAGCCATGGTGTGTTTATAACAGAGGGCTAACCTCAGAATCAGCAGGGCCAAAAGGTAATTCAATTACATCAACTATCTGTAATTAGATTAAGAGAGGGTTTCAAATTTGCCCAAAAGGACAGGTTTACATAGTTTTGGTTTCATTCATCATCACATCTACATGCTTTTCACTAAAAAAATTACAGGGGAATGACTAGTAACCTTAATCCTGTATCTAGTATCATCTTTCAGATTATCTCCTGGTAAATAGCACATATGGACAGAACAGAGTAAGGATTTAAGAAATGAGGAGGCATACCGAATGTATAATTTGGCTTGAGAGCAGACGCTCTAGAGCAGTGGTCTCCAAACTTTTTTGATCACACACCCCTATCAGTAAAAAATTTTTGTCCATGCACTCCCAATATATGTATATTTATATAAATAGAAATAGAAGTTCTAATATTTTCTTCCCACACCCCACTTTGGAGACCACTGCTCTAGAGCAAGAGTGCTCAACCTCCAGCCTGGGGTGCCGTATCATCCATGACACTGCTCTCCCACTGCCAAATTCCCAGCTCCCTGGCATGCACGGGGTAAGGGAACAGTTTTGGGCCCCACATCCAGATCCGGCCTGCAGACAGCTTGATCCGGCCCAAGGATGGGTTCTGTACCACCCACCTGGGCCAAAAGACTGAGCATCACAGCTCTAGAGTGTCAGGAAAGCTAGAGGGGGTGGGGGGAGGAGAATACCCATTTCCTACCACATCAGGATATTAGAGAAGTTGTGCAAGTTTCCTATACATTTCAAAAACCTCATCCAAGGTCTTAGCACCTCAGCTGCCACCAAATGTTAGGAAGATCATAAAAGCCAGTCTCTGCCATGCAACCAAATGAGCCAGGTATCACCTATTTTGTGTAACATGCACTGAAGTGGTAAATTGCCCTAGAAGTCAAGCACAGAAGGAGAATTGCACCCAAAATGAAAGCCCTGAGGCAGTAGAGCAGTGATTGTCAACCTCCTTAGACTCAAAGCACCTGTTGGAAAATGCCAGCTCTCAGTTTTCACATATTTTTTTTTTAACCACAGAAAAAGAATAAAGCAAACTCTGTTGCAAAGGACCCAGAAAGACAACAACAGCTCAGAGTTTTTTTTTAACGCTCTGGGGGTGTATATTGTAGCCATGTTGGTCTAAGGCCATAGGCAGACATGGTTCTTCGGGTAAATCCGATATCTTTTATTAGACCAACTCAAAGAGTTGGAAAAATTCTTCTTAGCAAGATTTTGGGCACAAACACCCTTTGTCTGGCTGAGGTAGCGTCTGCAGATACTTTGGGGAATTTTTACACATGCTGGGACGTGGTGCCCGGCACTTTTAATTAGCGAGTTGGGCTAATTAAAAGCGCCTGCACATCGCGTGTATCAGCATCCCTACGGGTCCCCGCGCTGAAAAAAATGGTGGTGAAGTGCTTTGAACAAAAGCTCACTGAACATGTTTTATTTCAAAGCACCCCACTACCATTTTTTCAGCATGGACACATGTGGGGATGCTGATACATGTGACATGGAAGGTTGCCAGAGCACTTGATTTGTGTGCTCCAGCAGACTGAATGAATCAAGTTTGCTCCGACATGCTGGATTTCCAGCGCGTCAGAGCAGGCTCTGCACACGTGTGTGCGAGTCCTTGGATTCCTACTCAAAATCCCTGGGTTTATCTTGTGAATCATGTCTGCACACACAACCATGCTAACATTTTGTGGCACCATGCTATCGTTGCTGTCCACCCTTGAAAGGATCTTGGGACACCTTGATTGAAAATCACTGCAGTAGAGGTTTATACTCTAAACTGCTTCAACTCTATTGTTTTTAAGTTCTAGGAAGGAAACTTTGCACCCTGGGCTATGGAGGCTGATGTTCCCCAACAATTATCCATTATGCTGCTGCTACCACTCCTGCTTAAACAGTGCCCCAGATAGAAAAGGGAAATGGCTATTGGAACAGATCGGTAAAACTAAGCTTCTGATCACTAGGCTATACTTACTTAGAAAAAGGATCCTGTATTAGGTTTTGGGGTATGGACACAAAGGTTCTTTTTGAGCTGAGGAAACAATGCTTCAAAAGGCCTGGAAGAAGCCTACTCCTAGGTAGAGTCTGGAAAATGTCAAATCACGCAAGAGCTCTCCTGCGCTGATGGCAGTATCTGCTAGCTTGCTAAGCTTTGCCCCTTTATAGCAGACTGAGTTCAGAGGGTCTTTCCTGTAGAGCTGTTATGTATAGCTATAGAAAGCAATAAGCTTTCCTGTCTGTCCTTATGAAGCAGTTCCTGGGGACTCTACAGAAAGGCAGCAAATGAAATGGCCCAGGTCAATCAAAAGGTATGCGTTTCACTTGGTAGAAAGAAACAAGCCTTTTTTCTCTTTTCTTTTAAACAAGCTTACTTTAGATCACTTCTTTGCTCATCACTGGTCTGCCAAATCCTCTCACAAAGGAATTGCACTAAATAGTGGCGGTAATGCAACCAGATTATATCTATATGTAAAAGATACAAAATTACACCCTCTGGTCCCAAACTCAGTTTCTTACACCCTACGCGTGTAGACGCTATGCAAGATGCTTTAGAAGCAGAAAAAGGTAGAAGGGTAAGGAAAGAACAAATGAGAGTCCCTCTTAAATAATCCACCTGCAAACTGATGTAGGAACCATACTGACAGCACCTTAGAGAAAGAAAAAAGCCAATAGCTTATAACCTAAGTAGGAAATCTTTGCCTCAATGAAGTAAATGCAGCTTTAAAAGAAGCCAGCCTGAAATGGTGGACCATTCAGAGAGAGAAAAAGAGGGACTGAATTCAATGCAGAATGAATTCAGTACCGAAACATGCCTACTGGAGATAAGGCAATTAGTTTGTACTGAAAAAGCATGCGTTTCCTGTGCATCATGTGGTTCAACAGCAGACAGCTTTGGGGACAGTGACATCAGAAAGCAGACATTTACAGGGACAAGCAAAGTGTGTGGCTTTGTGAAATACCTCAATCCTGCTGAGGTTTCAAGCACAAAAAAAAAGTTGTATATAGGGTCTGAGAACCGGTAAAAAGGAATAATGAATTTGACCAGGACTTCAAGACAGGACATAAGCAAGGCATTTTGCAAATGCCTTGTGATTACAATCACAAGACATTTTCCCCTTCAATTTCCAGGAAAAAAATAAATGATAGCACATGAACACCACAGTATGGTGAAGTAAGATACCACCAGGCTTCCTTGTCTCCATGTTATACCCCCAGTATTTTTGCTTCTGTTAAGATAATGTAAAAACACTTCAAATTGTGCATTCTACCACTTCACCTAGAGGTAACCATTGATTTGATAATTATACTGCATGTCCTCCATCCTGATAAAGTTAACATTGTCATTGCTTAATTATAAAGCAGAAGATTTGTAAAACATATAACCAGATCTATTTTCTTTTATGAAGACAAGTCTCGGAGAGCATGCTAAAAAGCTACTCTCTATAAATGATTTCAATTTTTTTCCACATAAGCATCTATGCATTTAAAATAAATTCTTCACCTTCTGCCTTAAAAGCTCTCAAAAGCAGAGGGAAGAACAGATCAAGCTAACTGTTAATGAAAAATGCACAATTATACTGTACAGTACCTCCTCGCAATTTCTCGAAGACAAGGTAATACCTTGTGTCATCTTCAAAAAATTCTATTAACTCCAAAATGTTCCTTAGAGAAAATAAAAAAAAACAAAAACACAATGGGAAGAGTGTATTGAATATCTATTTATCTATGTTAAAATAATTATTGACAAAAATAAAATCACTAATTAATGAGCTGCTGTGATAAACTGACATTTTAAAAGGATGTATTTTCCATCACCTCACAACAGTCAGACTCCACTACTTAAATTTCAGTCACTGAAACATAATGCGGTACACCAGGCAAGGTTATAAAAAGAGCCACGTTACCGTTCACTTGAAAAGAAGATAACCTCTAATAGGCTGTAGTTAATAATTTGGAACAGGACATCTGTCCCAAAGGCAAGAATAAAAATAATTACTTGCTTTTCTTCTCTGCAAGTTACAGGGCAGAAAGCTCATAGTGCTCAAAGGAGACAGCAGCATCTGTCACCTATACTTTGGGCTCAGCACAATCACCTAGTGGTCACAACTAAGTAGACTGTGTCCTCTGCAGCAGAAAGTATAAATATCTCTAGGTATCTTAAGAATTAGATTTACTGATAAGACAATTCTACGTTTATGGTATATTCAAAATCTATACTTCACACTGTCATCACAGTTCCAGGTTTTATCACCGACATGCTATATGCTCATACACAGCATTAGCTGCATAACAGAAATGCAGATGTAGCAATTTCTCCCCCTAGAAAAGCTAACAAAGGTCTATCAGCCTAGTGTATACATTTGTTTTAAAAGAGGCTTTACCAAAAGTATCAGCACAAGGCACTAGTATTTGATCCAGACAAGTTTTTTCAGTTGCCTTTGATGACTAAGTATGACCCGTTTTGCAATATTGCCATAATGTGCCCAATATTAAGTAGGTAATTGCAAAGAGCCTGACATAGGAGACCTGTGTACATAAATATGGGACATTACCAATATTGAGATAATAAGAGTAACTAAGTCTCTCAAGACAAAACTAGAAAAGCAAAAAAGGCCATTCATCATCCACCCATATTACTTCCATGCTAATCTGGATACTATAGGTTTGAAGCCTCCCCCTTTTTCTAAATATTTTTTTCCAACTTTCAGACAAAATGCAAACCTAGCAGAAGTGAAAGTTACCCATTTAAAACAGAAGTTGGATTCTAACCTGATCTGAAGGGTTGGGGACAAAAAGGTGTCTTGCCCCACCCAGTCCCACACTTACAAGAAACGCCCACTAAAAATAAAATATGAAACTCAATACTTACTTGTTACCCTGACACTGGTACAATGTTTCCACTTCCCGAAAAACCCTACTCCGACTATGTCCAACCTTCTTCTCAATTATCTGTTAAAAAAAATTGGAGTCTCTATTTAAAAAAGCCTTTGGATTTGGATTTGGCTTTGGATGCCAGACATTCAGAGTTAGAATTTTAGTCATGCCCTGTCCCAAGGATATACATATATGGCTTCCTAAGCTTCACATGCGGTAAGTATTATAATCGCTTCAACTAATTAAGTTCTGGAAGGCATCCAGATTACTCTGGTATTGAGAGCAATTATAAGAACAACAAGGAGAGAGATGAGAAAAAAGGAAACAGAACCCACAAGCTGGTTTATCAGTTGCAAGTTTTTTCCTGCCATTTTTAACTATGTGTGAATAGAAGAGGAAATCCTGTTGAGCTTTTGCAAGAAAGTGTTTTATACCACTAAAAAGAAAAGCACAAAGTTGCTACAGCATCTAATTAAGTGGTTTTCCTAGATCAGAGTTTGGGTTGCTAGTGCAAATGTCCCTCTGCAGATCTCAACCAGAAACCTCCTCACATGAAAACCACAAGCGTGGGGACCTCAAAGCATGTAATGCGACACTGTTAAAAGGAGGAAGAGACAGGATGATGCAGAAGAGTTGAGATTAAATGAGAGGTATAAGGTTTGAAAGTCTATGAAGTAGCTTCAAGTACTGTAATTCTGTCTTGAATGCTATAGTTTCTCCCTTTCATAAGCATGAAAATGCACCCATGAAAAAAGAAACCCATAGGCCAGTACTGCAAGGTAGCAAGTTCTGTACTGCAGTTTATTCATAAAGCCGCTAGTGCTCTAGTCAGTTTTCCACTTTCAACAAATTCAAATGCAATAGGTTTCAGCAACTATAGGGCCAGATTGCTATAGAGACTTCAAGCCAGCTTCAGTGTAGGTGTCCACATAGGATGTAGGCAAGTAAGAGTGTACTAAGACAATCAGTGAAATGCCTAGACTAGCACTTCCACTTGCAATTAATTGCTGACTCAAAATACAGACAAAAATGAGCCTGTCAAAGTAGGCCCCAAATGCTTTATAACCCCATGGGAGATGCCATGAAAAAAAAATCTGTGCCATAGTATTTACCCCTATCAAATAAGAAGAAACAGCAATATGTGAAACCATGCTGGTAAATGGAACACTTTATCCATTGGGCTACTCTGCCAAAAGCTATTGAATTAAACCATCCTAACCACCTGCTCTCCAGTCAGAAAAGTAAATGCACTGTGGTGGACCAAAGGTTATTCAAGCAAACTGGAAAAAAAAAAGCTTCTGCTGGACATTTCCCCTCTACTTTCCTGCATCAAGACACTGGCTGCTCATATTCCATTCAAAATGGAAATGAAAGAAAATGTTAATGGGAGGTCAGGTCTGGGATCTAACCACTGCACAGTATTAGTATTCTGTGCAAGCTTTGCCCATTGCTAAAATTTCAACTTCAGCCTGAAGGTATGATAGTGAAGACTTTGTTTCAAGCACTGAAATCTTTTTTAGAAAGCCCTTGATATTACCTGCTCAATTACAGGCATTCATCACTGACATATCAGGAATAAAACACTGCAAGCGCCAATGGCTCTCTCTTTGGATGCTATACCTACTTTTACTGCATACTCTTTCCCAGTTTGCAGGCTAACAGCACCCTGAACCTTGGCATAGGCTCCCTCACCAAGCAGCTCAGTCGTCAGTTTATACAAATCTGGCAAAGAAATCCAGAACAAAGCAATCAGTAAAGAGAAGCATTTCCGCGAACAACAAAGAGACAAGCTACTCATTTGATGAATATTTCTGATATGAAAGCAGCCGAGAGAATTATCTTGGTAATAAACTGGGGGAGTTGGATTTATGCAGCATTTTCAGTCAGATGCATCAGGTTTAATTATGCTTCATTTTTCATCTCTTGTGCTCGCCACCCAAACAAAGTTAAAATGAATTTCATCGTAGGAGTGAAATTTCAATCCTGTCCTATTGGAAACATTTTCTAACTCAATGACTGCTGGAATGTTGTCTACTTTTCATATATTCCCATTTTCTTACCTATTGGGGAGTTTAAATATTTAGCGCTGTGGGTACATTTTTCCTCAAGTGGAACATATTTAATCATTGCTTTATCAAAGAATGCTCTAGCTTAAGAAATCTGTAGTAACTCCAAGTTCTTCACAAATACCTTATATAACATTGTAATTTTGAAGTTTAAACTTCAGTAATTGAAACTGGGTTTCCTATCAGTGCTACTTTCATAAAATATGTTATTGATTAGTTCAACTGCATTGAGCTAATCAATAACATGAGTTGGGATTTTACATACACATGACTTAACAACATCATTTACATGCATTCATTCTCAAGGAAGAAACATTTTAAAGGGGTGGTACCTTGTCTACTCTAAAACAAAATAAAAAGTTTATAATGAAAATGAAGTAGAGACATCACCACAATAATTAAGGAACGGAATGTAAATTGGGGGAAACAGGTAGAGATACGGGATGAAATAACATGAATTTTCTTTTGTTGACCATCAGCAACTAAGGTTAAGTTTAGAAAACAGACAGGAGCTAAGGAATAAAGTCTGTAAGTGTTAAAATTAAGATACACTGCAAACTGACACCAACCTTCAAACTTCCCAGGAAGATGGTCTGTGGCTCTGGTTCTCTTTTTCTTTTTCCTTTTGCCATTATCTGGTATAGGGAAAGGCTGACTGATGACCATCTCTGTGTGGCAGAACATAAAGGTGGCTTTAATGTACAATCAAACCTACTGTAGGTCAGAAGGCAGTGAACAGAGCCTCAAACCATCCACAACTGTCATTGCTTTTCTTCATCATAAGCAGACCAGCTCTCCCACAAAAATCAGAAGAAACCTAAAAGTCAAATCAGGAAGCCGATTAGGCAGAGAGTTGATAAAACAGAAAAATGACATAGAAACAGAAACACAAGTGTGCAACCATCATAAAGCTCCAGTGAACATTGCTCTGCCTCATGGGTGGTCACCTGTGGCACAGGTGCCACAAGTGACATGGGCAGCTTCTGCGTGGCACATAGCAGATGAGGAGAGGGAGCAGGGAGCACAATGGCAGATAGGGCAGGAAGCAAAAAGCAAAGCAGATTGGACAGAGGAAAAGGACTGGAGTGACACTCAGGGAGGGTGTGTGCTAACTGGTGGTATGTCTGTCAAAAAGGTTAGCCTCCACTGCTAATACCATAGCTAATACCTTATAATACCATAGCAATCGGCACATGTGTACCAAGCTGACAACATGCTTGGTGCTGTTATCCTATCCCCGTAAATATTCAGTCCTCATGCGATTTAAACTATGCTCTTGACTTCCAGCAAAGGAACTCGTTGCCACAAGATAATAAATACTATATGTTCTTGCAACTTCATTTCATATCCTTTTATTTTGGGGAGAAAGGAACTATAGAGCCTCTGGATCTGCACCCCCTACCATTATCTATTTCACATTCTTCTCCCTTAGTCTTCTCTCTGAACAGAACTATTTAATTTTTTAATACTATTTCATACCTCTTGTACCATCCATGCTGGCCATGATAATTAGATCAAACCATTAGCATGGTTTTGACAAAACCCTGTCAACCATTTTCCAGAACATTTGTCATAGGATTCTTAAACAGACACGTATACTTAAAAAAAAAAAAAAAAAAAAAAAAAAAAAAAAAAAAAA